CATTTTCATTTTAAGATCAACAATTCGGTGTGTAAGGGATACAAGGAGATCCATATATAGGCCCAGTGACTGTGACATTGATGTAGCAATCTCTGATGTTCGACTTCAATGTCACTAACATAATAAAGATTATTATTATTATTATTATTATTATTACTAATTTCACTTAGAAACTCATTACTACTGATTTCTGATCCTATTTCAAATTCATTTTATTGTTATTATTTAAAGAAAAATACTACAAAAGTAGTACATAAAGCAATTTTAAGCAAAATTTAAATGATAAATTATGTAAATTTGACTAGATTATCTTGGTAAACTAAACTAAGAGACCAAAAAAAACAAAAAATAGTAGAGTCAGTAGTACATAAACATTGTGAAACAAATTGCAATAATCAAAACTCATTTTTTTCTTCACATCTAGTGTTTGAAACGATACTTTGAAACTGAAGAAAACGACAAAATGGTGAGACCTATCAACATAATCAGAATCAACCTGAAATTATAAGAATTCCGTCTCGTCATTCCATTCTGGTATTTTAAACTACACTATAAAAATAATAAAAGAAAAGGAAATACTGAAAAATGAGTAATACATGCAACAATTTTTTAATCCCAACAGAAAGTGATGAGTCACTACTCGTGTGAACTATACTGTGTCAGAAAAAACAAACATATAGTAAGAAGTTAGTACAACCTGAAGGAAAATTTGAAAAACCAACCTAAAATAGTAAGTCACCCTGGTATTCAAGAGCAAACGGAGAGTTAAAAGTGAGTAGAACATTAAACATTTTAAAAAACAAACTCAAATGATAAAAACTGAATCTGATGAGTCACTTTTGTAAAAAAATGAGAAAAAGAATAATAGTAAGAAGTCAGTACTACATCAATCATCATTTTCAAATCATAAAAACTAATCACTTGTGGTATTTTAAACTATACTATAGAAATGAGAAAACAAGAAAATAAAAATACTGAGGAATAAAAACTATTCTAAAACCAAACAAATGTGATGAAAATTAAATCTGTTAGTCATTCCTGGTAAAAACTATACTATGTAACATCATTTAAAAGCCAACCTCAAATAATAAAAACTCAATCTGATCAGTCACTCTGGTTTTAACTACACTATGAAACTGAGAAAACAGGAAACAAGTAGTCAAAAGTGAGTAGGACACATGCCATCATTGTATGAAAACTTCAAACAGTAGAACTCTGTATGATCAGTCACTCCTAGTATACACCATACTATATTATATACTGAAAAGAAGATAAGTAGTGAAAAGTGTAAACTGAAATATTGAACAAAGCAAACTGAAATGAAAAGAACTGTACGTTGAGTCAATTCAGGTATTTTAATCTATAGTATAAATCTAAAAAAAACAAATAGTAAGGTGTACTACATGCAACATTAACACTCACTCCTTGTATAAAAAGCTGAGAAGAAAGAAACAAATAGTGCGAAGTCTGTATTAAAAAAACACAATCATAAAACTCACTTTAAATGACAAGACCTCATTCTGATGAGTCACTTTAACTACAATAAGCTACACTATAAAAGTTAGAAAAGACAAAACAAATAGTGAGAAATAACTAGTGGTGAATGAGACATCACTTAAACACTAATTTTAATAATCAGAACTTAATTTGATCAGTCACTTTTGTTATTTTGAAAGATGCAATGAAACTAAACAAGAAGAAATAATGAGAAATAAGTAGTAGATAAATGTAATTCTAAAACTAAACAAAAAGGATTAGAAATAAGTATGTGTCACTCATTGTCTAAACTATATACTTTGAAACTGAGAAAAGAAACAGTGTCACCACAAAAGAGATGTTTTAATTAGGAACCTCAAATAATACCTCAATCTGAACAGTAACCATGCAACTGACAACAGGAAACAAATAGCCAAAAGTGAGTACAAAATAAAGCATTTCAAAAACTCAAATGATCAGAACTCAGTCTCAAAAGTAACTTCTGGTATAAAACTATACTATGAAAGTGAGAAAAGAAGAAACAAATATAGTAAGAGCTGAAAGAACAGACACATCAGAATCAACATCAAACAAATGGGTCTGATCAGTCACTTCTGGTATTTTAAACTTTTTTTTTAAACTAAAAAAAAGAAGAAACAAGGACTGACAAATAGTGTCACATGAAACATTTTAAAACCAAACTCAGGTCGTAAGAACTAGTCTGATCATTGAGTCTTAATATGCACCATATTATAAAAATCAGTAAAGAAGAACAAATAGTTAAAAGTAGGTATAACATGAAACATTTTAAAAGCCAACCTCAAATAAAAAGAACTGAGTCTCATCAGTCACTGCTTGTATTTTTAACTGCTTGTATTTTTAACTATACTATGAAACTAAACAAGGAAAAAGCAAATATTAAGGAGTACCACATGATACATCATCTAGAACCTAGCTCAAATGATAGCAACTCAGTCTGATTATGACTTCTGCAATGAAATGAAGAAAAAAACACATTTTAGAACTTCGAGAAAGAGAAAGAAATTGTTTCAGAATCCCACATATATAATGATCAGAACTCAGTCTGATTAGTCACTTCTGGTATTTTAAAATACCATTGAACTGAGAAAAGAAGAAACAACTACTGCAAAAAAAGTGGGTCATGACATCATTTTAATACCAAACTTAAATGATAAACCTGTCTCATCAGATACTACTGGTATAAACTATGCTGTGAATCTAAGAACAAAGGGACAAGTCAGTGAAACAGGAAACATCATATTAAAGTAAAACTATGAGAACTCAGTCTGATCATTTACTTCTGGTACTAAAACCTATACTATAAAACTAAAAATAAACCAATACCGAGAAACCAAACAAAAGGGAAAACTAAGTGTGATCAGTCACTCTTTGTCTAAACTATACTATGAAACTGAGAAAAGAAACAAAGTGGTACAACATGACACATCACTTAAAACACCAACCTCGTAAAACAACTCAATCTGATCAGTCACTCCTAGTATTTTACGCTGCACAATGAAACTCAGAAATGAAGAAACAGATAGTCAAAAGTGGGTAGGACATTAAAATCATTTTAAGATGAAACTCAAATAGTTTCATAAGTCACTTCTAGTATAGACTACACTACGAAAGTGAGATAAAAACAAATAGGGAGAAGTCAGTAAACTGTACTATAAAAATGAGAAAACAAGAAACAAGTACTGACAAATAAGTAGTACTTGAAACATTATTTCAAAAGCCAAGCAAAAAGAATCAAATAAGTCTGATCAGTCACTCTTGCTTTAAACTACACTATGAAACTGAGAAAAGATGAAGCAAAAAAGAGAAGTCAGAACATGAAACATTTCAGAAATCAACCGCAAAAGTCCTTTATCTGTTTTAAGGGGGTAGTCTTTATTGAGGGGTTTCAGTTTAAAGTGTCTAACTTGGGAGATATTTAACTATTTGATAGCAACTCAGTCTCATGAGTCACTCCTAGTATGCATTATACTATAATGTATACCTGAGAGAAAAAAAGAATATAGTGAAAAGTAAGTATAAAATGAAACATTAGAAAAACTCAAATTAACAGGGAAAACAGTAGCTAAGTATCATAGTCTGATAAGTCATTTCTGGTATTTCAAACTATGATACTAAACTACTGTTTTCCGTGTTATCATTGGCCTATCTTCCTGCTCTCATGCCACACCAACTCCCTCTTCTCACTGCCAAACCATCCTCTGGCTGTCACTGCCACATATCTCACTGATCTCAGTGCCACACCATCTACCCGGTCTCACTGCAAGCACCATCTCCCTGCTGTTTGTCACTGCCACACAATCTTCCTGCTCCCACAGCCAACACCATCTTCCACATTTCACTGCAAAACCATCTCACCGCTCTAACTGCTACGTCTCCATGCACTTGCTGCCATATCATCTCCCTGCTGTCACTGCCACACCATCTCTTTGCTCCTACTGCCTTACTATCCCAGCTCTCACTGCCACACCTTGTCCCTGATCTCATTACCACAACATCTCACTGCTAAGACTGTTACACTAATTCCCTCCTCTCAATGCCGCACCAACACTCTGCTCTCTGCCACACAAACTCCCAGCTCTCACTGCCACACCATTTCCATGCTGTCTACGCTACACCATCTCCTGTTCTCACTGCCATACCAAATCCCCTTGTCAATGCCTTAAAATCTCCTTGCCTTCTCTGCTACACCAACTCTCAGCTTTCAGTGCCTCACCATCTTGCTCTCACTGCAACACCAACTCCACGCTGTCTTTGCCTCACAAACTCCCAGTTGTTATTAGCTAAACATCACCCTTCTCTCACCACCACACCATCTCACTGCTCTTACTGCCACACCAATTCCTGCTCTGACAGCAACACAAGCTCCCTGCTCTCACTACAATACAATCTCACTTCTCCCACACTGCCTCACATCTCC